GATGAACCAGGTTCAATCCAATCTAATGAATACTTTGGATTATTTTAGATTAATCCAATTTAATATTTAGACTGTTCAAACTGTTCAATCAGATCGAATCCATTATAAATGGACCAAGTTTAATTAAATCCAATAAATATTTTGGATCATTAAATTTGAGACTGTTCCAATTCAATATGTCTTATTGGTCCGTTTAATCTATTCAAATTGAATTTGATTTGAGATGGTCAACCCAAACCCAGTCCATTGACAGTCTACCTACTTCAACCCATTAATGACAGCCGCTCTTATTCAAACTGCTCTATATTCATGTCCACAACACACTATCACTATGTATTAGAAACATCTGCCACGAATAAGAAGGAAGATATTCCTTAAATGCACCTATAGTATCCTGTGGGTATGGATGTGAGAATAATTTATGGGTAAGAGATATGAGCTCGAAAATGGATTGGTCTTGTTGTTGGGATGCACATTCTGCATGCAACAGTTACAGTAAAGTGATCCGGACTCCACGTGGACTGACATGCCAGCCTTGTGTGGACAGCTCAGGCTGTCGAACATAGACAACCGAAGGTTGAGCCGCCGAGGAGATCCGGCCTCCCAGAAAACGCCTTCTGCTTTTATTCTTTAACTAGAGAATGACCCCCTCCCGCCCTCCCGGTAAGGGTGTCAATGGACCGATTTTGGATTGGATCCCATCCAGTCTAAAATCAATTTGAATGGATTGAACGCTCCAATAAGATATATTGGATTGGATCAATCCAATCCAAAATATTTATTAGATTGGATTGGACTTGGTCCGTCCGTAATAAATTTGTATTGGATTGGATTGGATTATGTCAATATCTGGTCCATCGATATAAGATAAGAACATAGGTGTCAATGGACCAGGTTTGGGTTGAAACCAATCTAAATAAAAACGAATTAGACCAGATTGGATGGTCCAAACATTGAATTGGACCATCTAAAATGGTCCAAACATTCATTGGACTGGATTGGACCTGGTCCATTTATAATGGACTAATGAACTCACATTGGATTGTATCGGATTGGAYCAAATCCAGTCCAATTGACACCCCTACCTCCCGGTATTAAGCATGAGGCCAGTATTTTGACATTTTCTTTGATTTATGTATTGTAATACATTTTGCTATTTTCATTATGTATTCTAATATTTTTTTTTATCTATGCATTTTAATACATTTTGTTTTTTTTTTCTTTTATGTATTCTAATAAATTTTGTTCGACACCCATTTTTTACCAAAAGAAAATTCTATGTTGTAAATTTAGGTAATTATTTTATTTGATTTTTTATGTATAAAGTTATTTAATTTAAAAGGTTAAATCAAGTTTTATTTCTAAATAGCACCCCACTTTATATTATGAATTCTATATCATTTTAAATGAATTTTTTTCTTATTAATAAAGATAATTACCACTAACTTTTTTGAGAGTGCAAGTAAGTAATAACTACCATTTGAGTGGATAGAGACATGTCTTATGAATGAATAACCACTTTTATGATGCTCTTTGTCGAAAAATTAGATTGCCAAGTATATGAAAGAAAAGCTCTTTTAGATGGGTGAAGTTTGTGCTAGACTGCTAGGAATATGAGCCGCCACCGAAATACTTAAACAGTTAAACCAACCAAAAAATAAGTATTGAGCCTTTTGTGGCCAAAAAAAATGAAAGAGCAAATTTCCTAAACTACCCTTTTGTTTAGGTAAGGTTGCGTTTGGAATTGGTATAAAACGTCATCGGTGTAAAAGTACACCAATGACATTATATTGATGACGTTTTACACTGAACCATGATTAGTGATCATTATATTTTTGAAAAGTGTGATGTGGTCGGTGTAAAGTTTTACATTGCTTTTATTGATGTAGTATTTACATCGATACGTTTTTACATTGAATATTGATTCACGACATAAAACTTCATTCCTTCCAAATGCAACCAAAGTGCAGTTTTAGGTCGATCATGATTACACTCCCTCCAAATGCCAACAAAATTGAGATAGTGTAAATATTTACACCGATTCCAAACGTAGCCTAATTGACAAACTATACCCTTACTATTTAACAATTATCTTAAACCACCCCCTCTGTTTCTGACAATTATCGTCATTGTGTAATCATAACAAAAATGATGAAATGTCCTTTTTGCCCTTGGTCTCTTCGTTATTTAACCTAATTCGCTATTGTTCATTCTCCCTTCCTCTCACCCACTTCTTGGGCCCAAAATCACTTGTTTGTCCATCTCCCTCGCCGGTTAGACTTATTCATGGGCCAGGCTCGAGCCGGGCTTTCACTCTATATTAATATATTTTTCTAAGGCCCAAGCTCGAGCCCAGTTCGACCATCGAGCCTACAACTTGGGCCCAAGCCCGGCTCTCATAAAAAGCCCAAAGCTCGGGCCTGGGCCCGAGCCTGAAATTTAGCCCTTGCTGTTAGTTTGTTACTACTGCTGAAGCAACTGAATAGAGAGAGAGAGAGAGAGTGAGAAAGAAATTATAAAGAAAAAAAATAAAAAATGTATATATTAAATTATAAATATATATGTTTCAATAAATATTATATTATTTATATATTTTACATAATATATAAAATACATATTATGTATTTTATAAAATATATAATGTTGAGTCGGGATAGGCTTTTTTGACAAATTCTGAGCCCGACCTGAAACACAGTCAGGCTTACTGTGTTAGGCTTGAGGTCAGGCCCGTGGGCTTAATTACATGACCAAACCCTACCGGGGTGTGGGCCGGGCCATCGGGCTACCCGGTCCATAAACAGGTCTATCACCGATCATACACAAGACCGAATCTGCTCCTCACATAAGGCGCTTCACATGCACATCCTACCATGCATTGGGAACATCTCCCGTACTTATAAGCTATTTTTTACGGGAGATGTTCTCAATGTACAGTGGATGTACATGTGAGGAGCAGATCCGGTTCCGTCATACGCTGGTCTTTAGTGACATCCAACGGCTTCCCTCGGGACCAGCACGGGATAACTTGCGACGAGTCGGGCTCCGTGGCTGGTACTCTTGAATCAGCGGCTACGGAGTAACAGAAGTCACAGGTGGTGAGAGATGGGAATTTTAACAATGCGCGCAAACCAGAAATGGGACTTGACTCGATACCATGTGAAATGTAATTATTGCCCTACATTAAACTTTGGGTAGCATTTCAGATCACACTGAAATGCTTCATACTTCATCTCATCTAAAATCTCGAGAGCTGGCCAAGAAATGATGAGGTGTCAACGGAACGACATTTGATTTGTGGTGTCGAACGCGTTGGGGGAGGGAGTTTCTGGATATGGCCGATGGTTCGGAGAGCTGCATTTTGGCTAAAGTTATTGGACGCAATGATGTGTGGAATTTCTCGCAACCGTCGTGAAGAAAACGGAAATTTTGAATTTGTATCAAACGTTGGATTAAGAAAACGAAAATTTCCGTTTTCTCTCTCTCGTTCTCCCCTCTCGTTGCTCTTGCTTGCAGTAGAAGCTCTCGTACTTTGAAGAAGCCAAAGGCAAGGTAATAACCTCATTCGCTTTTTTTCCTGGTTGTGCTTCTGTATTGTTCTTAGGTTTGCCCTTTTCTTCTTCTTCTTCTTTCGAAAATTTCGCTAAGAAATTCCAAAAAAATTGATTTCGTTTGTGGTTCATTCTTCATCAGCGAAGGGAGAAGGGATTGAATGGGGAAGGAGCTTGACTGGATTTGGTCAGGAAAGAGATTTGGGACACGTGGCTGACTTCTTTTGGGTTTACCCCAATAACCACAGCGAAGAGATCGGGGCAGATCCGAAGCGAGAAAAACGATTTTTGGCACCGAAGCATATGGGGTGAAAGAGCAACAGCGACAGCACGGCGTCGATGATGGGGCTTCGGTTCGGATGATAGTGATCCCCGTGAATGCTTCAAATATTTCGTTTCATTTTACTGTCTCCTTGTTTGAATTATAGATATTCATGCATATTAGAAGCCGGTGGTTCCATAAAGTTGAATCGGGCATTGAGGATATTGAATTTTTAAAAGTTTTATGTATCACATGGTGTTATGTGTGTATGGATTTTAACAAAATATTAGTGAATACTAATATCAGTTAGAGCTATTCAATTATCAAAAACAGTAAGGGCGGTTTAAGATAATAATTAAACAGTAACAATACAATTTGACAATTAATTAAACAGTAAGATAATTTAAATGTTTATTTGAAATCGATACCATTGCTCCAGAAAATGGTAACACATCAGTGTTAAATTGAAAAAGTCGGTGTTTTAGGAAATGTTAATATACTTGGAACTGCTTTTTTATAAAAACTGATGCTCTAAGCCACGCCTTAGAAATTGAGAAGGCATGGTTTGGAACAACATAGAATTTGATATTTTTTCAGATTGAAGCTCATTGCTGTCAATGAAAATATAATGTGACAGTGACATGGACTTCATATAATGGGTACTGGTGCTGAATACAAATATGGAGCATTAATATCAAACAGAATGTATTGCTATTATTTCAAGAAACTCCTCCCTAAGAGCAACATTTCCAATAAAACAAGACATCATTTTTTTTAAAAAAACACTGTTTTCTCTGCAACAACGATGCCAAATATATACTATGAAATGTGCCCAAAATGAAACAAACAAAAAGCATCTTAAAGCGTTTTGACCCACAAGAGATGCCAAAATAGGGACGTAAAACTTCATGGATGAAGAATGTTTTGGTTGTCATTTATTCTTTTTAGTGGGGATTGTTATTGTTTTGTTCAAATTGGAGGAACCACGAACCACTGACATTGATGGATATATAATGTTTGAGACTTGAAAGAGAGCTTCGTTGCGAAAAAAATATTTAGAAAAAAGTCCAAAAAGACGGCAACTTTCCCCATTTTGGCAGACAAAGAGAAAACCAAAACGCATACCATATAAATTGCCTTCTCTTTATTTGACTTATTTTCTTCGCAACCAAAAACTGAAAAAAAAAGGGTAAAAGAATAGAAAATTTCTTTGTATTATAGAGTTTAACAATCAGAGACAAGGTCGAATTAATATAATCCCACGCCCCTCCATCAGTAGTAATATCAATCAATATATCCCTCTCAAACGAGAGAGATCCCTACAAAGTAAAACAGAGTGTGGGTCCAGCCCCTGGAAGTAGGAAGGGATTCCTGCAATTCACAAATATGACATAGATTCCATGAGAGCACCCCTTAACTCATTTGCGAAATCCAACCCACCTTCTAAAACCATATTTTACAACGAAGGCAGTGCTTCCTCTTCCCCCATACGAATGTACAAGGGAAAATTGAACTCCCGAATGCTCTAAAAGAAAGAATTCCCAAAACAGATTCTTGTGTTGTATGGCAAAGGCCGCCTAGAAGGCAAGATAAAGAAGATAAAGATAAAATAACAAGGGGGAAATCTCAATCAGTAAGATCAACTAATACCCTTGTCATCTTTCCCCTTGTTAATCCAAGCTTCCTCCCCAAACACCTCTTCAATCATATTACATGTCGACAAGAATTCAACATCTTTCTTTGGACCAGTAAAATAGCCAACATCCCAAACTCTAGCATCACAAGGCTCCATAACATACCCATTTTCAACACCACCACCTATTCCGCCAGAGCTAGTGCCAATCTCAACCTTGTTCTCTTGCAACACAGATCCTGCATCAACCAGCCCACTTGAACTGTTAGTCTGACACTCGTAGGAAGTGCACGACTCATCTTGAACATCATGATCCTCCCCACCATCCTGTGGATTCTTTTCCACAAGTTTAGCTGCAATAGCAAAACCACAATCAAGTGATTTCCCCATACATGCCTCTGAAACTTCATTCCCTTCACCAATACAATTCCTATCAGCCTCCAAATCACTGTCATCATTATGTTCAGAAATTTCATCTTCATCCCCATCATCCTCGTCCTCGTGGAAATCCTCATCATGGATCTCTTGGTCATAACCAAGAACATCTTGACCAACAGGAGACTCCACCACAGAATCCTCATCCTCCTCTGTTATCCCTAACTCCTCATCACCATCATAATAGCTTCCCTGCCACTCATCATTGTCACTGTCAATGTTCATTGGATCAACTCTGTTCTGCTCAGCTCGCCTCCGGAGCATGAAGACATTGAAGTAATAACTGATAATCTCCTTCTTTGTTCGGTAAGGAAAGACCATTGAGAGATTGTCCCAGAAATTCTTGCCCAATGATGCCGGGTTAGAGAAAACCACCTCTCGAAAGAGTTGTTCATCTTCTTCAGTCCACTTGCTTGCCACCTCCTCTCCCATATCACAGAACCCCAACTCCACAAATTTCTCTTGTCCAAGGGTTTCCCTCAGCTTCTCTCTTGCTTCCATGACATGCTGTCTGACACATCTGATGGAACCCCTATCTGGACAGCTACAATCAATTCTACCATATCCAAAATCGTTGCTGCTGCAAACAGACTGTTCAAAATCAGGCATCGAAATTACACAATTTCCCATTAGTTTCTCATCACTATCATCCTCAACAGTAGGTTCACCCAAACAGTAGTTATCCTGCAGTCCCCATGCTGGAATATCTGCCTGATGGTCAGGTCCAACTGAAACAAGTCTTCGAGGAGGATAATCCAAAAATGATGAATAGACCTCCTCAGAATGAAGTAATACCCTTGCTTGAAAATCAGGTTCAGAGAAGTCGGGGGAAAATGATACCCTAACCACTGCCTCAGACCTGGAGTCTTCTTCACTAGTACTGCTGGTGACCCATGACAAGCTGGAAGCACTAACAGGAACAGTTGTCTCAAAATCTTCATTGGCCCCAGCTGAGAGTTCAGTAATGGTGACATTTAGCCTTTCCTTGCATTCAGATTTACTCAAGTCTCCTTCACCAACTTCAGAATCAGACCAACATCCGTTACTAAACTAGTTATTGAGTAAATAACCATGCAAGAAATCCAAGACCAGGACTTTAGCACCACCAAAATGTCCAACTTCCTTGTGAGACCACCTAGCAGATCTCTTGTGCCAAAAATTGATACTATCAGAATTCAGGATGTCCAGATTGGATGGTCCATACCATCCAATCAGACGCAGACTGGATCAAAGGATCTACTTGGTGGGACTCATCAAATGTTGGTGCCTCCATCCTCTTCTCCACATAGAGACCATGAATGTTAATTTTCCAGATATAGAAAATTAAGACCGCTTACCTGAACTTTGAGGTTTCTGAAGCATATCATTATAAGGAACAATATCTACAAATGAAGCCAATTGATTACTATATTCCAGCTGCCTTGAGTGCTTACAAGCAAGCTCATATGACTCTTCATCAACTAAAGGTCGTTTGTACACCATGCTTGACTGAAAACAAATAGTTAAACTAATTAGAATTACAATGTGCAAGGAAATTAGTGTTAAAGAAGAAATAGGCTGAAAAGAACAAAAGAAGCCAATACTTGAACCATGGAGTAGCAAGATCCCCCCCCAACAAAACAATAATTGAAGTGGAAACAAAAGTATGATAATTGTATCACATGTCACTCTACAAACTAAGCCATTGAACTGACAATGTTTGCTTCCTTTTCTTTCTCTCAATTAATAGATTGAACTGACAACACTTTATTTGAGTTGCTAATGGTTTTAATACAATCTCTCTGCACTCCAAACAGTAAGATGTCACCTAATAGCTAAATAGAGAAAAGGTAATTGCCATTTTCTATCTTTTTCCTGTGCTCATGAATAGCAAAGATAAAAAATATGGGAAACATGAATAAGGTAAACCTATCACCATTGGACCACTTTGAGCAATTGGCATGAGGAAGAAGCAAACTTGTCCACTAGGTAGAACATTCTATCAACTAATAGATTTGAAAATAAGAATTAGAAAAAATAAAAACAGCATCGCAAAACATCCATGGTTAATATATACACTCAATAACTGATATCTGATGAACTACTAATGCCACATCAATTATCCATCCTGATAACAGAAAGTCAAAAACTCTTTTTATGTAAGTCAAAAACTCATTTCAGCACACAAGCAGACATGTTGACTTCCAAAAACTGGTTGCAACCTGCAACCATACAGCAAAGAAAGCTTTAGCTATACTTGGTCAAAGCTTTAAGGTAGTTGTGCACCAGTCACTTGTACTAGGATGCCTTCAACCTACTTGCCAGCATAAAAGAAACCATGGATCAGAACAATCATTTTTGATAGACAACCATTAGTAGTTTCACAAATTCAAAATGAATGGCTAAACCATTAATGTGCTCAATTATTTTGTAGACATCAGTAAGAATAGAATAACTTATATATTTGCACCTAGGGTGGCAAACCAAATGAAAAAAGCAAAAACGCCAAGAAAAACTTTCTTAATTTGTTTTGTATCCACCATCAAGATAAAATTTCAATGCTCTTGTTAAAGTATCAACATTTTCTAGAACAACACCATTCTCTTAGTACTTGTATTCGTGCATTGCAGCATAAGACTTATCAAACTGTCTTTCTACTACCTACCAAAGCTAAGCCCAAAATAAAGTATTATGAAAACAACGAGAATTATAGACGGCTCTCTTTTGCAGTAAAATGTATAATGCATTTCTTATATAAATGGCAATTGAATTAATTAATTAAAAATAACCATTATAACAAAGGAATTAAGTCTTAGCATTTCAATATAGAAAACAACCACGCTATAAAAATAAGCAGAAAACCTAAAACAGTGGTCAACCAAACAAATACAACTTTGGATTGAAAAAAAAAGAATAAGAAAATAACTGATTATTAACCAGATAATCATGTTAATGGTAAACGTCTAAACTGATTTAATCTACGAAAACGAATAATGAAATATGGATAAAGGAGCTGGTTTTACCTCCGAAGGGTCTTCCGATAAAAAATATTTGAGAGCGGACGCGTAAAGAAATGGAGATCGTAGAAACAAAACCAAAACCCTAGATCCCTATATTGTAAGGTGAAATAGACCAGATTAAAGGTAATCAAGGGAGAAGATTTCGATTTCACGATGGAAGCCTACGTTCCCCCAAGCCGATTCTGTAAAAAAGAAAAGCAGAATTTTTTTCCGAAACCCTAACCCTAGAATCTCAAATTTCCGATGAAATCCGCAAAATTTAGAGCGATCCAAGCGTAAGACGGTTACTGACCAAGGAATAAACCTATTTCCCCAATAACAATTACAGATCGGAGGACAAAAAAATGGAATTTGGAAAATCGAAACCCTAGAAACTCAAAAATCAAAATAATCTACAAAATTAGAACAGATCGAAAGAGAAAAACACAAATAAAACCGAGCGATAATATTATCGACATAAAAGTTCGACGGATTGAGGGTACAGACCCGGTTTTTCGGAACCCTAACCCTAGAATCAGATTTACCAACGGCGGGAGACAAAAAAGGAATCAATCGATAGGGAAGAAGGAGAATTGATCGAAGGAAGAGATGATTTGATAATATAAAAGTCTGATCGAACAGAAATCTAGCTCGAAAGGGGAGAAATTGTTAGGGAAGGATGAACGAAAAGGGTAAAGCTAGGTTCGCGTTTTTGTATCCGACGGTCGAGGATAGGAACACGGCTATCAACCACCGGAAACCTTCTTCACACCGAATCCTAAATCACCAAAATCGACTCGAGTATATTGATAATTACATCACAGGTCCCTAGATATGATGGACTGTTCTAAGCTGATCGGGTATTGTAAACCAACATAACCTACGCACCTCCTTTTAAATAGTATCTCTCGCTTAACGTGATTTAAACAAAAAAAAAATCTCTCGCGTACAGTCTGCTCCTCACAAATGGGCGCCTCACAAGCACATCCACCATGCATTGAGAACATCTCTCGTGAATAATAAATACGGGAGATGTTCCCAATGCATGATAAGATGTGCGTGTGATGTGCCAGGTGTGAGGAGCAGTCTCGTTTAGGCACAATGGTTCGGAATTCGAATCCTAAACCAATTATAACATGGATAAATTTCTTAAACTACCTTTATAATTTAGCTAATTGACTAAGTATTCTCCTAATATTTGAAAATTGACTGATGCTACCCCTATTATTTTTGACAATTGACTAATCCTTGTTAACAATCGTTAATATTGTAAAAGATTATTTTACCCTCCACTGGATCTCTACCTCTCCCCATTTTTTTTCGTTGTAACCATTGGAACCATTGTAACTGCCAAAATAATGGAGTTATAAAAGAAAATTTGACTGCAAAAGTCATTGGAACTGCCGAAACAATGGGGTTTCATCAAACCTGAAATGGGGGGACCTTGAGGCAGCACACAAGATCCCCAAGGCCCCTAGACTGGTAGAAAGCTTTGATGGATGGTGGTGGAGGATGAAGAGGAAGGAATAGGGGCGGCCTCAAAGACAGGGGTCACTTGGTCGGAACACAGGAGGTGTGCAGTCAAGAATACTAAGGCTGCGAGGAAGATTTCAATGTTCAAGGTGAGCACAGTCGTTGATGCTAAGAGAGGCGTCGCTACTTTTCCAAGAAGAGGGAAAATGAGCCCGTGGAAGCTTTGACCAGGTTAGAAGGGGAAGAAGATGTTCCGAGTGATAAAACCAATAATAGTTGTCGTTGTCGTTGGGGCATTCGCTAGAACTTTCATGGCTGTTGCCACCAGATCCGTTGTCGTAGTCTTTAACTCTGCAGGAATTTCGGCCAAATCCCAGCTTACCTCCGGCAACAGTCCATCTTTGCAGCTCCAATATTGCATTGGCCTCCGGTATAGATTGAGGAGTTTCCGAAATCCCAGCATACCTCTGGTAGCAGTCCATCAATGCCACCACACCATGGGTTGCAGGGTCTGATACAGGTTTTGTCGCAGAGATCCTCCTTCTCTTTGTCTCCCTCTTTCCGTCGCTGACTGCCTTCTTTAAACCAAGCTTCACCTGGCCAAATCAGATCTAGGTTCCTTATTTGCTGTCGAAAGGAAGAAAACGGTAATTCCTTTCGATAGTGAGATAATTCCATATGATTGTATTTATAGCATGGTATCGATTTAGTTACCTGCTTTTCATAAAAAAAATGAATAAAAAAAAAGAAGAAAGAAAGAAAAAATCGGTCACCTCACCTGGGAAGTAGCATGCTCGAGGTCTTGGAAGGTAATGGGATGATCAGAGAGGACGAAGTCACCAGAGGGGAACCGAGCCAAAGGTTTCCGACCCAAGTCTATTATAACCTCAATCAGGTGGTGGAGTTCTGGGTGTTTGCTTACCCTCCGTCGCATCTCCTCTGGCAATAGAGCCAATAGGTGTCCCAATTCGATGTCGGATTCATCTTCCGCCTTAGAAGAAGAAGCAGCAGCAGCCAAGAACCGTACCTTAAGGACCTTACTCAATCTGGGTTCCTTATTTGGTGTCGAAAGGAACAAAACGGTAAGGGTAAAATTGGGTTTTTAAAAAACAATATATGTCACCTATATACAAATTTAATGGAATACTAAGGGATGTCACCTATATACAACAGTAAGGGTAGAGTTAGTCAACTGTCAGTAACTGTAGGGGTAGCACCACTCAATTTTCAAACAGTAGGGATACACTTAGTCAATTAGCTAAACCATAAGGGTAGTTTAAGAAATTTACCCTTATAACATACCACGTCAATCTAAATTGTGGGATCTATAGTAGTGTGTATTTGGTATAGCTTCAAATTAAGGGAGGGAAGTATGGGATTTGTTAAATTAAAGATAAATAATAGAAATATGTAATAATATACATGTTTCTATTGTTTGGTTACGTGCAAGTTTATCGAAAAAACGCCGCCACATCAACAACACATAGGCATTGGTATTATTGCATATGAAGCAAAATGAAATAACTGTTTGGTTTCACTCTTTACCAAATAAATGATAAAAAGCTGAAACGCTTTGATTTTTGTGTATGGGGCATTTAGGGAAACATTGAATTCTTTTTCCCCCAATGCCCCAACATTTCTTGAAACCAAATGCTGATGTGGCACATTTTAATGGGTATTAATCGGAGCTGAAACGCTTTGATTTTTGTGTATGGGGCATTAGGGAAACGTTGAAATTTTTTTTCCCCCAATGCACCAACATTTCTTGAAACCAAATGCTGATGTGGCACATTTTAATGGGTATTAATCTGAGGTGAAGAGTAAAAGACGTTAAAAGTGAAAAGTACAAATAAACGACATCTATAAACGCCTACGGAACCAAAGACATGTGCACGTGTTTGGTATACCTTTCGTTTATTAAATCAACTAGCAAGGACCCGTGCGATGCACGACATTTGTTAAATTAAAGATAAACAATAGAAACACAATATACAATTGTTTTATATAATAATTAATAATCATTTATATTTTATATACTACTTTTAAAATTTCTTTTTTACAATACAAAAATAACAATAATTAGTTTTATATAGGATTGTTTATCAAACTTTGGGATGACAATTTTCTCCATTTCCCCAATCCCCGTGGGGATTTGCCCTAAATGGAGCGGAGATGGGGATAATTTTCCCCCCACGGGGACGAGGATGGAGAAATTTTCATCCCCATTGGCGGGGACAGGAAGAGCGCTCTCTGCCTTGTGTGGACCCCAATCCCCGTCCCACGGGATCCCCGCTAATATATATGTATATATACACATACGTTTATATATGTATATTTGTACACATATGTCTATATGTTAATATAGTTGAATCTTTTCTAATAGGATTGTAAATTTTAATTTTTTATTTTTATTTTTTAAATAAAATAAAAAAACAAAAACATAATGGTTGACAATACAAAGAATCATAGGGAGTGGGGATCCCCGAGGAGATGGGAATGGGGATAACTTTGTCCCCGTTAGCGGGGATGGGGACAGGGATGTGAATGGGGATGGGAGAGGCTCCTCGTCCCCACCCCGCCTCATTGCCATTCCGAATCAAACTAATGAAATTGACCAACCCGATTTCTAGTATTTTCAATTGGCTTTGGCTCAACAATTTCCCCACCCAATTAGGTTGGATCGGTTTTGCTTTGGCCATTTATAAACTGACTAAAATCGAATGACTCAACCACTAATACATATTAATACTTTATATTTTAAATATATATTTTTTAATACGGGAAATTAGGAAAATTCCAATATTTCTTAAGCTAAAATAGTTTACATCATAAATTTATTTTTTAATAATGCCATTGTAATTTTTTTTTTAACTTTAAATCTTTTGAACCGACCGACCAAACCAAAAATTGACCCAAATTTATATAACTTAAGTGACCAACCCCCAACCCAAACATGTCGATTTGGTTAGCCAAACAACTTGCAACTGAAAGGAACCAACCTATGAACAATAGTTTAATATCCAATAATAATTAAAAATTTAAAGCAAAAGTGCACAATAAATTAAATTTAAAAAGCTAAATAACAGTAGTTTAAACTTTAATACTTATTAAAAATTTTCTATTTAATAAATATTAATTTTAGTATAGATAAATATACAATATATAAAGATTAAGTTTTTATAATTATTATTAATAAACAATCATTTTTTGAAAGTTATTTTCTAGAATTATTAATTGGTATAATTTAAATTAGTTATTTACAATATTATTTATTTATTGAAATAAATCATTATTTAAATTTTAAAATATTAATTACTTATTATATTTAATAATCAATAAAATTATAGTACTATTAATACATTATTTTACTATTTTAACTATTTAAAAATCTAGTTATGTTAAATATTTTGTTATTTAAAATATTTAGTTATTTAATTAAATATTTAAAATCTTAATCTATTTATTATAATTGAAAGTTATTCAGTAACTATTTAAATTATATTATTAATTGATTTAAAATATTAATTTTAATATTTTGTTATTTAAGATATTTAGTTATTGAAATATTTAAATAGTATTTCATTTTTAATGTTAGATTTTTATTATTTGAATAACATTTAGATTGAATAATCTAGAAAATCATAATTTATGTTGTTTTTACATAGTTTCGTGATGAATTTTGTAAAAATATATAATTATTGGTAAGTTGAATATTATTAAATCGATTATAATTTTTTTTGTGTTTTAATAAACATTTTAAAGTTTTTATATATTTTTGTTAGAATATTTAAATAATTCTTAAAATTTTTAATTCAAATTTTCTGTAAATAAATGTAGATAAAAGGTAGGGGAGAAGATAAATAAGAATTAGAGATAATTTAGGAGCAAAACTCTCTGCTAAAATAGATATAACTTATGAGAAAATTAGGGATAGTAGGGGAGGTTGTTTAGGAGAATGTGTGTGTGTGTGTGTGTGTGTGTGAGAGAGAGAAAGAGAGAGAGAGAGAAAGAAAGAGAGAGAGATTTTTAGGGAAAATAGAGTTCTAATTGGTAATTTCGAAAATGGCATGGATTAAAAAATTAAAAAAGAAAATAAAAAAAAGAGAGATAATTTCTACACTTCCTTGTTTTAATATATATTTGTACTTGATTTGTCTTCAAAGCCGAGAAAAGTATTTGATAAACCGTTTATTGACAAATGGACGCCACATTAGTGGAACAGTGAATAATCGTGGAGGGAAGCATTTAAATGAAGCTTCCCCTAATGGTTGGTGCACACATAAATCAAAACCCCTTGTGTGAATATCAATGCACACCGATGAACATGATAAGAAAAAATGTTGATTTGGCGATAAAATGGCGATGTTTTGATAAACGCCTATCACAAAACGTCCATAAAACAAAATACACGCATAGAGGGTGTTTGGTTTTATTGGCATTTATGTATCAGTATCACACAAGTGTTTATGTTTATTGTGCACGAAACCACTATTTAGTTTCACGATTTTTTAGATAAATACTAAAAATCATAACATTTAGATTTGTGTGCATCATTTAGGAAAATGTCATATTCTTATTTCCTCCAATGTTCCAATATTTTTTTAAACTAAATGTTTATGTGACACACTTTTATAGGGTGTTAATATAAAATGAAAAATAAAGTAATGCTTAGTAAAACAATAAAAACAAAAAATGTTTAAAATAAAAAAAAAATGTTTAAAGTAAAATTGTACAAATAAATGTTTAAAACAATAAATTGTCTATCTATAAATGCCCACAAAAACAAACCTATATGTAATGTGGCGCAAAATGATTGGTCCAATATAACACAGTAAAACAAGGTACAAACCATATATAAAATGAAAGTCTATGGCAATTTTCTTTTTTCCTTTTATCATTTTTGTAAATGCAAGTTATGAAAGTCTGTGGCAATTTTCCCATTTTATTGCCCTATTTTGGGAGAGCTGAGCTGGAGATTGCTAAGCTGATTAAGCTGCTTTAAAGCACCTAATTTAAAGAGGTTGAAGTGGACAACCCCGCCTGTTTGCGAGTGCTAAAGCGCAGCGGCTTTTATCAATGGAAGCCGATTGACTGATTTAGGCGGTGTTTGACATTGATGTCATTGCTCCAGAAAACAGTGACACATCAATGTCATGTTGGAAAAATTGGTGCAATAGAAAACAGTGACATGTTTGGAACTGTTTTTTCATAAAAAACGTGCTCCGAGCCATGTCATGAAAATCGAGAAGGCGTGGTCTGGGGAAATGCCGAATTCGACATTTTCTAAATTTAGAGCTTGTTGCTACCAATAAGGACGTGATATGGCAGTGACGTGGACTTCCTATAATGGGTATCAATGCTAAAAACATATATGGAGTACTGATACCAAACAGAAGGCGTTGCTGTTGCCACAGGAAACGTCCTACCTGGTAGCAACGTTTCCAAACAAAAAAAAAATAGACATCATTTTCTGATAAAACAGTGTTGTATATGCAGCATCAATGCGGAACATATACTTAAAAATGTATAGTTGTTTTCTCTTGGTTTGGTCAGTTTAAACTTTAAACACAACCGATTGTTAACACTAACCACGCCTACAAAGTTGAAAAATGAGCCTGAGAACTTGTGGCTTTAACCTTTTGATAGTAAGTCTATGCAGCTGTACCTTTTAAGTCTCTAATTGAAAATAGGAAAGAAATTTAAATTTCTTTTTCTCTCTTACATATTACAGATTTACTTTTCTTTTATTTTTTTATTTAGGTCTTAGGTTGTGTTTGGTTGCAATGCAAATTTATTTGCACTGATGCAAAACCATGGCAGTGCAAATGTAAAAAATGAAAATTATTGTTTAATTTGTTTTTTATTTTAGTTTAATATGCTTCATGTCTTAATTTACTTCATTTCTACTGCAATCAGACAAAATAAGCTAAAATATGAGACAAAATTAGCTCAGAATTTACACTAAAATCATTTGCACTGCCATGGTTTTGCATCAGTGCAAACTTAATTGCATTGTAACCAAACACAGTCTTAAGGGTAATTTATGAATACTTTATACATTCACCGAAATAAGAAATATAAAGTGCTAACATGTTGACAGTTTTATTTTTATTTTTTTCTTTTTAGTTGAAGAATCATTTATATATACAACTAAACTTGTTCATGGATCGGGTAGCCAAACAAACCAACTTGATTTGCCCCATTTGATTGTAGTATGTGAGGTTTAGCACTAAGGTGCCCCTATTTTGCTTTCTACAAAGATGATTTGATCTTTATACCAAATAATAAGGGTGAGGGTGCTCAGTTGTATTGGGTGTCGAGAATCTCCATATGGGCAGACAAGCAGAGGAAACCTGAAATTGTTATCTTAGTGGTGTTGATGCTATACCCTTGGGATGGTGATTTTTCATTAATCTGCCGTTTGCAGCCTGTTGGAAGTTGGGACAGCCACCATAATCTATCCAAAAAATGTACTTTTGGTGACCACAATTTGGGATTTTATCTATGCATTTTCTTTTTGATTTTCCACATGCATTTTCAGATGGCCTTTATTATTGGTCTAGAAGCTTGGCTTTGTGTTGTGGCTGGTCTGATGCATTAAGCTCATGTCTTGTATCATTGCATTGATGGCATTCTTGTTCTTTCAACTTGCAATAGATCACTTCCTCTTATAAGTGTTGTTGGGTAATCAAACCATTTTACTATACTTTCTCTAAATTCATCAATCATTGGAGTTATTCTTAGGATCTTTCAAATGACTTAGGCCATGTTTAATTTGTTGCTCTAGGTCTCAATTTTTTTTTTTTTTTAATTCTTGCTCATTTTGAGAAAAAATGAGTGAGAATGAATCACATTAGAGTCTTTGCTTATAATTTTCTTGTCATGGGCCTCATTCTTTTTGAATGAAAAATCAGCCCATAGCACAAAAATTGAGGTAGCTTGCAGCATGAAAAATAATCATACCCCATATTACTCATTTTCATTATTAAAACAAACTATATGTCAAGCTGCCAGCGGTCATAAACCGCTGGCCTAGGCTTACAAAACCACCACCATAAATGTTTATTGGCGGACTGCCATGGAAACTTATGCCAACAAGCATTGGCCGGCAATTTTGGAGACCTAAGCTGGCAGTTTAAGACAGCTAACACAGCTCTTTTTTAATGAAAATGAACAACGTAAGGCACTTTTCAGTTTGAAAATAAATCATTTTTAGGAAAAAATGTGTTTGGCTCATAACAATATTTTCTCATTTTAAAATTTCATCTTGGATAAAAAAGAAAAAGAATGAGAGATAAACCAAACATGACCTTAATATTTTATCAAATCATTTTTAATTTTTTCCATTCATCCATCTTAGCGTATACATTTCTACATCTTTTTTTTTTGGAAAATATTGTTTCTTAACAACTCAACACTGTAGTACATGATATATACAGCCTTAAATCTGTCTTGGGTGACATCCTCTTCAATGTCTCCCTTATTATAAATTATTGGACCAAGGTACTAAAAAGTGTGGCATTGAATTATCTCTTAGTCTCAAATCCCTCCATTTTTGACTAACTTGTGTTCAAACAAAATATAAGGTACTAAAAATATGTTTCTATATGTAATAAGGTATTACGCAGTTTATGTAGATGTATAGCAATGAATTGTCTGAAATTAGTAGATTTATCTGCAACAGCCAGATCAAAGAAAATGTTTCAAGGTCAAGGTCAGGGATGTTCCACAAAGGAATAACAACTGAGCATCTTGGATTGAGATGGTGAAAAGAACAAGAGATCCTGTAGATATATTTTCGTACGGATCTTTCATCATACGCAGTTTCCAGATGCATCATAGAACGGGTCAAAGAAAGTCGGGCCTAGTGTTTTGGGCCCAAACCTGAATCCACGGGTTTAAAACATGTGCTACCCGCCCATAAACAGATCTAGTGGAGAGTGGGGGTGTGGGGACTACTGTTTTACCCACAGCGAACCGAAGAAACCCACTGGGTTAGTCGGTTTTGCTTTCCTTCGGCGTAGCGGTGTGAAACTGTGAATCGCGTAGGCTTTATTCAACTTTTAATATGAATCTCAAAGACACACGATTTGAGCAGGCAGTGACAGAAGGCAAGCTTTCTTCATTCCTGGTGGATTCCAGGCGTCCTCCTCTTATTGTGGTTGAGATTTGAGAAGCTCAACTCATTCCAAACCCCAAAGCCAAGTCCGATTGATGTTGAGAACTGAAGCTGGTAAGGACTTTCGTCTTTAAGTTAAGCTTAACTCCCATGAATCGGTCCAGTCCAACAAAAAGAGAAACTGTCTTTTATGGTGTTGGAATTGGATTGAGCGACTGTTGACTGTTGGTGGAAAAGTGGAGGAGTTGAGCTAAACAACTGTCTGTGGAGTGTTGATAGAAAAGCGAAGGTTGTGGTTAGTACAATTGTTGTTTCAACCCGAAACGTTATGGGTTGATCAATGTAAATTATCCATAGAACTATGAGTTGAGGCTGTTGATAGTTACAACACAACATATATACCTTAAAAAAATGCTTGTGATGGTTAATCAATTATGATTCATATCAATGACAGAGAAATGGTTTCTAAAGCCTCGATGAATTCATTTATAACAGCTTATTAAGCCAAGTAAAAAGAACACATTGACTTGGGATCATTCCAGTAATGGCTAAGTAACAAAGAGCTTCTTGGCTTCCATAAGATGGAAGCAGCAGTAATTTTTAACTAACTAATGTTCACAGGTAAGAAACAACATAAAGCACGACTAATAGCGATAAACGGAATAGGGGGGGGGGGGGGGTAAGAAAAGAAATACAAAAAATTTTAAAGAATCAAACATTCTACATCAAATCTCAATTCTAAGTGATCCAGTGCAAGCCGTGCTAAATCCATGTTTCCCTTCTAAGCCACAGCAGGCATGTCCTCGAGCCATGGATCCAAGGGCTTCCCTATGGAGTACACGATGAAACCAATCTCCCTCAACTTCTCCGCATTCACGATGTTCCTACCGTCGAATACAAACGCTGGTTTCCGCATGTTATCATATATCCTCTGGTAATCAAGTGTCTTAAACTCATTCCACTCCGTCAGAATGCAGACACCGTGGGCATCCTTGGTTGCCTCATATGCATCCCAAACAACACTCACTTGCTTCACTGCAGTGGGGCTCAGTGGCTGGAGGTGAAGTGGGTGATCCCAGTCAAACTTGTTCATTGAGAGGTCCCTCTGGATCTGCTCCTCACTGACCTGAGGATCATAGATGCTCAACCGGGCCTTGTCCCCCAAGAGCCCTTTGCACACATCGATGGCGGGGGTCTCCCTGGTGTCACCTGTGTCCTTCTTGAATGCAAACCCCAGAACAGCAATCTTCTTACCTGAGACTGTGTTGAACATGGAAGAGACAACCCGGTTGACAAAACGGTTCTTCTGGTAGTCATTCACCTTGATGACCTGTTTCCAATAGTTTGCTACCTCAGGGAGGCCATTGCATTCACAGATGTAGACCAGGTTCAGTATGTCCTTCTGGAAGCAGGACCCTCCAAAGCCAACACTGGCATTCAGGAACTTGGGCCCAATCCTAGAGTCCTTACCAACAGCATGGGACACCTGGGTAACGTCTGCACCAGTTGCCTCACACAGTGCTGACATGGCATTGACAGAGGAGATTCTCTGGGCCAGGAAAGCATTGGCAGCAAGCTTGGAAAGCTCCGCTGACCACAGGTTGGTAGCTAGGATTCGGTCTTCAGGCACCCAATGGGCATATACATCCTTCAATGCTTGGATTGCTTTCTGTCCATCAGGAGTCTCCCGGCCTCCAATGAGCACCCTATCAGGCTTGAGGAGGTCTTGGATGGCAGTCCCCTCAGCAAGGAACTCTGGGTTTGAGAGAATTTGGAAGTTGATACCCTTGCTGTTGTGGGTCAGAATCTTCTCAATTGCCTCAGCTGTTTTTACTGGGACTGTTGATTTCTCAACTACAATCTTGTTGGATTTTGATACATCAGCTATCATGCGTGCCGCACTCTCCCAGTAGGTTAGATCAGCGGCTTTGCCTGCTCCGAGTCCTCGAGTTTTGGTTGGGGTGTTGACAGAGACAAAAATAATATCTGCCTCGCTTACATGCTTCTCTACATCAGTACTGAAGAAAAGGTTCTTTCCTCTGCACTGCTTCACCACATCTTCCAGGCCTGGCTCATAGATGGGGAGCTGATCGCTATTCCAAGCATTGATACGAGTAATGGATATATCCACAACGGCCACTTCAATAGAAGGGCACTTGAGTGCTATCACAGCCATGGTAGGTCCACCGACATACCCAGCTCCAATGCAACAGATCTTCACCATTTTCAATTTTAATCAATAACCTACAAGGATGGAAACCCACATATCATTCATTATAGAGAAGAAACAAACATTGGAAGGTCACAAGTTCTAGATCTATATACCAGCAAGGAGGTGGAAACACAAACAACGGATAGAGTCTATCAGGACGCAGAGATATCATGTGTATTTGCCCATAGTCATAGAACTCTAATTGATAAAGAACTCTTCTGACGCATTAAAGGATAGCAATACTGTCAAGAAACTATCTAAGTGTTTGTGACTAAGTTCAATTTCAAAGTTCAAACAAGAAAATGAAAAACAAAATTCATTTTTGAGGCAGGGGATGATATAAGATAGCAAGAGGAAAGGGCATAATTTTTTTATTTAGTGCAAAGGAATCAAAGAAACTCCATAGAATGAGAAAAGATAACAATTCCAAAGTATAGACAACGAACTAAAAGACAGACAAATACAAACGGTTGACACTAGATTAAAACAAGGATCTAACCAATAGATCCAGAGTTTTAAGGAGAAGCTCATAAAATTGTCAAAACATCTGGTTTTTCTATCTGGGTTTCCAGCCAATCCTTCAAAGAAAAGGCTTGATTCCTAGTTAGAATTCAATAAGCGAAAGCCAACAGAACATATACGAAAAGTGACCGTCTGAGTTACAGTCCAAGATATCAGATCCTCCAAAAAAAGTGTTGATTTGTGCATCATGCACAGAATCATTACACACACAACAGAACCCCATTAAGAAGACTCCACAGAAAAACAAAGAGGACATCTCTCAGAGACCAGTCACAGCAAACAAATAGACAAAAGATCAGGCAGCACACTAAATGAGAAGCCGACAGATTTTTTTTGAATGGAACAATAACAGTACAAACAGATCATAAGATCACGAACACTCATACTATAATTGATTCATGTGTCCTGCTTGAAGTTCGAAGTTCAGATCAACATTACCTTCTTTTTGCTCCCTCTGTTTTCTTCCAAAAGATCTAAGAAGAGAATACGAAACACAGGAACAGAGAGATGGAAACAGTAGATCTCTGAAGAGAAAGAGAGACTACGGCTTCTCTCACAGGAAAACGAGGAAACCGAGAGCTTCTTAAATACCCAAAACCCATCTAAGATCTACCCCATATTTCACAAACCAAGCAATAAAAAAAAGTCAGATTTAACAGCTGAACTGGAACATTCAACACGTTTTCTGGTTTCAGGCACACTTTACACTAACAAACAAGAGGGAGAAAAATAAAATAAATAAAAAAAAATCTTTTTAAACCATACATTTAATAAGATTTGTTTTTTCAGTAACACCCATATTATTAATTCTTAACTAATCTAACGAACAATTTTACTGAAAAAGGAAAAGGGAAGAAATTAGAATCCATGTTCCGATAAAGCCCATATAGCCCCCCCCCCCCCCCCCCCCCCAAAAAAAAAAAAAAAACCGCTCCTTCCATGTAACCAGTTTAGACAGTTCAACGAGTGAAGCTACAGTGACATTCGACGCGTCTGTCATTTTAGGTTCCAGCCTTCAGGCCAATAAAAAGATGACTTTCAGGCGTGTAAAGTTTCCTTGAGAAAAAGGAAAAAAACAAATTCACCGAAATAAATAAAACCCAGGTTCTGAAAATGTAATTTTAAAAATACCCATTGCGTAGAAAGTGCCAAAAAAATGTTTTTTTCAATAAATAAAAGTAATTAGAAAACCATTTTAATGGTGTTTTAATTTCTTATCAATAAATTAAAAACAAAACTTTAAGATCCAGAAAGAACGTGATTGATGATTGTTGCTGCGAAAGGTAGAGTCGAGGAAACAACGTAATTTCTAATATTTGAGGTTGATTGGTCCAATATATTTAGAAGCCTTGGGAGGTATTCTAAGGGCAAAGACTTCGATGATTAAATTAATAGAGAACTGTGAGGGGTCGAATCAAACAAGAAAATAGGCTTAAATCTTAAGTTCCAACATCTCTTTACCTCAATATAGGAACCCTTTTATATAGTCGGAGTTGTATAAGAAGAATAATAATTGGGAACAGGTGGCCACAGTTAATAGTGGTTGGTGATGGGTGATCATGATGCATTCGGCTGATGCCACGTATCAGAATTCATCTGATAACTGAGATGCATTCGACCACTACCACCTATCAAGATCTGCGAGTCAGCCAGATACTCCATGAACCACCAAAAGAGGAGGCGTTGAGTGAGATCGAAGCCATGATTTAAGGAAGGGAGTGACGGTTAGGAAGTATGGCCCAAATTATAAAGAAAAAGAGCATGACTTCTAGACAAAAGAGACAGATGAAGCTACGTGATCAACACTACAAAGTTATTTCTTTCTTCTAATTAACACCGGAGAAAGAGAGCAACCATTCTTTCACTGCATTTAAGTGATGTTACAGTTAAACGGCTTGGTTTGACGTGTTCTAAGAGATAAGACTTTGATTTGATTTATTGGTCAAGCACGTAACACTTGATATCAAACCCAGCTATAAGTGAGAATTGTTTAAATCGAACCATTGCACATAATTAGCTCCCCAAGCGTGGTGATATGTTAAAGTTTTAAAAGGTTAAAAGCTTGGCTTGACGTATTTCAACAATCAATACTTTTGGTTTATTGGTCAAGCATTTAATTGATAATTTGATATCAGTATCTATTAAGTGAGAGTTGTCTAAAGTACCGAAAAGTCCAAAAGGTTAAATCGCTTGACTTGAATAACGCACAAAGGTTTAAAAAAAAAACAATTGAACCCAAATTTTTAAATTTAGAAAAAAAGATAGATTTGAATGACCCACAAAGGTAAAATCAATTAATTTGTAAAAGAACCTCTCAAAAATCAGAATTTAATGTAATAAAATTATTCATAAAGCTCCTGAAAAGGACTAAAGAAAAAGCTTACAATTAAGAATATTGAAGTTGTATTCTAAGCTAACTGATTGATCAGCCTGACGTGTTGTATTATATGATCATTCCAATAATATCATCCAGTTCTCTGTAGAACTCAGATGGCCAATGAAAGTATTGAGTCCAATTCTAATTTTAGATGGGTCAACAGAATTTTCTAGGTGGGTCATGGGTGGATCTTTCTGGCCCGAACCATGTGCCAATTGTTTTGCCCTATTGACCTAAAGAACTCTCATTTCTCACACACAGATATTCCTGTCTTCGGTTCTACCCCCCAAAAAAATCAAAATCTGTCTTTGCAATGGAACGGTTTTTGACCATAAAAGAGTGAATATTAAAACAGCGTGTGCCAAATTCGCACCCTGAAATTTGCAAACCTTAAATAAAAAGGACGATTTTGTAACAAATTTTGAAAGCAAGCTGACAACTCTGAAAATTTAGGTAGGATCAAATTACTCGGAATTAAATACAAATTATATATAAATATAACCTGTAGCTCTGAAACTATTGTTAGTTACAAGTACACTTTGTGCCTGCCGGGGAATGAATGTCTAAATTGTTAAGAGACGCACTAAACCGATAACAACTCGTTAACACATTTCTAGACTTTAACTATTTGGACCCCTATCAGGCTTTGTTGAGCAAAAATTAAAGTAGAAAGAGTATGCTTTTCAAAATCGGATGGTTGGACCGAAAAAACCGGGGGTGATTGGTTTCGTTTTTCCCCAAAATCAGGATTTCTCAAGAAATCGTTGATTTTGGTCAGCAAACCGCTGATCCGGGCAGTTAACTATTCGAACGGTTTTGATCATTTTTTATTTTTTAAATTTTTTATTTTTTTGTTAGAATGGGCCGGCCGTTTCCTGTAACCGGACCCCTGACCGGTTCGGTCTCCTGATCGATTTTAAAAACCATGAGAAAGAGCTTACCATGAACATCTAATCCAAATATTTTTTTGAGTATGTAATGTTAAATAAATTTATGTTATTTTTTAGATGGATATTATATTAAAATTATTTTTAAAAATAATAAAATTTTAATATATTTAAATAAAACCTAAATGGATGTTAAAAATTAATAATACTATCATTTCTAAACGGCAAATGCTAGCATATAGAAAAACATTATAGACTTTATGACATGGGAATGAAGAAGAGTCCAGATTTGCTCCTCATACAAAGTTTCCCACAGCATTCGGAATATCTCCATACTTATAAATTATCATTCATGGGGAGATGTTCTCAATACACGCCGGCAATGTGATATCAAGTTGGTGTGAGGTGCGCTCTGTGGGGAGCAAATTTTAATTCAGTGACCAATTGGCCATAAGCCATAACCCCACAACCTTGGACTAAGAGAGATAAGTCTCTGCTCCAACCAGCCAGTATATGCGGGTGCTCTTAAATCTTAAAATAGGGTTTTCTTTTTTGTTTCAACAAATGAGAAACCCGTTGGCCCAAAATTTGTTCAGAGAAGTATAGACAGATCCAATACAGATTTTTGAATTCCACTGTAGATCTATAAACATTCAAAATATTAAAAATCTCCATTCTAAACACCAATGCCCGCCATAAATTGACATTAATTTCGAGTTAGCATCTACCCAATTATACTTTGGATCTAAAAATTATAGCCCTGAACTGAACCGTCATTCTCCTAAATTTGTTTACTTAGTTACTCAAAAAGGCTAGGGGTCGGTCTGTACTTACAAGCATATCATGTTTAATAACTTTTTAAGGAAAAGTTAGTGGAATTAGGGAGTTGAGATCTAATCATCTAAATCGTACGATGCATCTGATGAATGGTAGGGACCCTTTTCTCCTATGATTTGATCTTAGTGAGGTGGGTGGAGTGGGACCTCACTGATGGGATCAGATAGTAACTTTGGAAATGGGCGATGTACCCCTTTCAGCAGAAAAAGGATTTATAGAAAAAGAAGAAAAGAAAATTAAAATATGTCTTTTGGTAAAAATAAAATATGTTGAGTTAGCTTAAATAAGGCTTGTTCTCTATAGTTTAGAAAAGTGTTGTGTCCTCCAAAACACTGCAGTAGCGCCCTACTTGACATCTACTCGCAAGAACTCTAAAGGGAACATCTTTCCGTGTATAAGAGTGAGATGTTTTCCATGTGTCAGTTGCAATATTATGTAGGTAGAGTTTTTTTGTGGGCAGAAGATAAGGATTTATTTAAAAGTTATGAATATGCAACTAACTACACTGTTGATGGTGTTCTACATCACTAGTGATGAAGTGTGGTGTGTTTAAAATAAACATTAAAGATAGAGGTGGAGTTAAGATTTTTTATCAAGGGGCTCCAAAAGTAGTAAATCTACGTAAGGGCCAAAATTTAAGAGAAATTTAAATGGGTATTATGGAGATTTTCAAGGCACAGAGGGGCCATGATCCCCTTCTGCCACCCATGGCTCCGCCCCCCTGATTAAGGACTACAGTGTGGTGTGTTTTAGAACATGTGTTTTAAAATTTGTGATATTTATATTCCGAAACCAAGTATAACCAGTTTCAGACCACATCATGGCTTAAAAATCATGTTTCAAAGAACTGGAATAAGGTTCTACCACATTATCAAAGATCACCCTAAGGGTGGTTAGGGTTGGTTTGATTCGATTGTAGGTTGTTTAATCAGATTGGATTGGTTTTGGTCAATTTATAAGCAATTGAACTAAAACTGACCCAATCTGATCAGATTAGGAAAATTATGAATTGATTTCAACCGAAAATACTAGAAAACCAATTAACTTAGATTGAATTGAGTCAATTTGACCGGTTTTATCGATTTGATGAAGAATCCTAACCTTAGTTGCCGTCGCTTAGCCAATCCGATTGAGTCGTCTATTTTTCAATAATATGTGCGTGTATATATCAAATAATGGAAACTTGAGACCATATGGAGGAATGGTGCAATTAATTCAAACTTTTGTCCACCTCAGGGCTGTCTCCTTTTGCCCACCTCCTGTAATTTGTTTTGATGTGAATGACACTGCAAATAAGGCAAAATATAGCTCAAATGTTTCGGTCATAAAAATAAAAAGCTCCATGTTTCGGTCATAAATCTACATGGCAAAGTTCAGCACAAAATAAGGCTGCAAATGATACCTGACTGTTCAAATCAGTTCCATTAAGGCTGCATTTGGCATTCCTTGTTTTAAGATTCATCTTCTTTTTGCAATAGTTTACAATTAATTTTCTATTAAATATTATATAATATTTTAATAGTTTTTAGTTCTATTTATTTATACTATTCAGTATCCGATTACAATCTGAATTTAATTCAAATCCGATATAAATCTGATGGATGAAATCATATTTCAATTTAAATACAAACGAATCAAATTTGGATCTACCTATATCTGATCCTATTCAATTATTTGCAACCCTAGCACAGAAGACATGACAGGCATGAGAACCTTACCACATGTGAACATCAGAACATGGTTTATACTCTATGCTAGAGGAATCTCTTGTTTCTTTTGAGGAGTGGAGGTTGGTCGTGGCCTGGTGGGTAGTAAATGCTTAAAGTTGTTTAATGTCGGTGGTTTGTAACTAGTAAATGGTGACCCTGAGGAATTTCAGAGGGATACATGCTCGGATTGCAGGGCAGGAAAGCGGTGCGGATACCCGTAATCCTTTCATCAAACCCATGAAAACCAAGCAGGGATCTGCTAATGCTAGTGGTAAACTAGGAACAGAATAGGTCATGTATTCCTCTGTTTTTTTCTCAGTTTCAAGATCAAAATTGACCTGTTTCATGTGCCATTGGCCACAGAACCAGAGGAATCAGAGAAAATGCAACATGTGCAATTGGCCAAGTGAAGAAACTAATTGATTCAGTTAATCCATTAACAATTAACAATCAGAATTACATCAACGAGGTAGAACACAACCGCTTAGATCCACCTAACGGAAGAATGGGTGTCGTAACAGGCAAAAGAAATGCTAGAATCCATGAATGAAAATAATAGAAAATAAAATTTCGTTGTTTGTTTTGGAAGAATCAAATCGCCTATCCAAGATTTTAGTTCTACTTGGTCGCAAACTAGAAGAAGACACAACCTCATTCATGCTTCTCCTTCATGCCACAGCAGGCATGTCCTTGAGCCATTGATCGAGGGGCTTACCAATACAGTAAACAATGAAACCAATCTTCCTCAACTTCTCCACATCCACAATATTCCGTCCATCGAACACAAACGCAGGTTTCTGCATGTTATCGTATATCCTCTGGTAATCAAGTTTCTTGAACTCGTCCCACTCTGTCAGAATGCAGACAGCATGGGCATTCTTGGTTGCCTCATATGCGTCCCAAACAACGCTCACTTGCTTCACTGAGGTAGGGCTCGATGGCTGGAGGTGGCGTGGATGGTCCCAATCAAACTTTTTCATTGAGATGTCCCTCTGGATCTGGTCCTCGTTCACCTGAGGATCAAAGATGCTCAAATGGGCATTGTCCCCCAAGAGCCCCTTGCACACATCGATGGCAGGAGTCTCCCTGGTGTCACCTGTGTCCTTCTTGAATGCAAAGCCCAGAATAGCAATCTTCTTACCTGAGACTGTGTTGAACATGGAAGAGACAACCCGGTTCACAAAACGGTTCTTCTGGTAGTCGTTCACCTCAATCACCTGTTTCCAGTAGTTTGCTACTTCAGGGAGGCCATTACACTCACAAATGTAGACCAGGTTCAGGATATCCTTCTGGAAGCAGGATCCGCCAAAGCCAACGCTGGCATTCAGGAACCTGGGACCAATCCTGGTGTCTTTACCAACAGCATGAGCCACTTGGGTAACATCTGCACCAGTTGCCTCACAGAGCGCTGACATGGAATTGACAGAAGAGATTCTCTGAGCCAAGAAGGCATTGGCAGCAAGCTTGGAGAGCTCTGCCGACCACAGATTGGTAGTTATGATTCGATCCTCAGGCACCCACTGGGCATACACACCCTTCAACACCTTGATTGCTTTCTGTCCTTCCGGCGTTTCCCTGCCTCCGATGAGCACTCGGTCAGGATTGAGGAGGTCTTGGATGGCAGTCCCCTCAGCAAGGAACTCTGGGTTTGAAAGAATTTGGAAGTTGATACCCTTGCTGTTGTGGGTCAGAATCTTCTCAATTGCCTCAGCTGTTTTTACTGGGACTGTTGATTTTTCAACTACAATCTTGTTGGATTTCGATACATCAGCTATCAAGCGTGCCGCACTCTCCCAGTAGGTCAGATCAGCGGCTTTGCCTGCTCCGAGCCCCCGAGTTTTGGTTGGAGTGTTGACAGAGACAAAAATTATGTCCGACTCCGCAACATGTTGCTCCACATCAGTGCTGAAGAAAAGGTTCTTTCCTCTGCACTGCTTCACCACATCTTCCAGACCTGGCTCATAGATGGGGAGCTGGTCGCTGTTCCAGGCTGTGATCCGAGGAACAGAGATGTCCACCACAATCACTTGATTTGAAGGACACTTCAATGCGATCACAGCCATCGTTGGTCCCCCGACGTACCCGGCTCCAATACAACAGATCTTCACCATGTTTCCTGCTTATCTAAAACCTGCGAAAGACCACATATCCTGAAATATCAAACATTTGGCAAAAGATATATATATATATATATATATATATATACAGTGGATCGAAGTTTGAAGTCCTGCATTCATATTTGGGTTCTCCAGATATTTATTCTTTCCAAATAAATATATCTCTGCTTGGTTCCTAGTCAGTGAGTGCGGATCTGATGCTAGTAATATGCTGTCAGCACGACATTCAGCCGTGCTTTGGGAACATCTTCCATGAATGAGCACATACAAGCACATGAGATGTTCTCAATACACGACTGGATGTTAGGAAAGAATGCTAGCAGTACTGAAAATAAAATATTCATAAAAGGAGACTAGAATTGTAAGTGAGAAAATATGAGATAAGCAACAGATTTGTACATTATGGACAGATTCTTTAAAATACAGTAGATCCTTATTTTCAATTCATAAAGAATTCAACTGATAACAGACTAAAAAAACTCTACGAGATGAATTGAAACCCGAACTGAGCTACAAAAGTAAAGCAGAGGACCGAATTAACCAAAGCCAATAGAATCTTCCCTGAATATGAAGAAAAGAACAGAATGCAATAACTAACACCGACAAATTGTACGATAGATCATGGAATACTTGACTAGAAATCACATGTTTCTTTTATTGAAGACAGTGGTGAAGATCAAGATTACCTTCTCTGTTTCTTGAAAAGGATGGGAAGAAAGACGACAGAAGAGAACGAGAGAGCATGAAAAGAAGGAAACGAAAACAGATCTTCTTCTGCGGGAAAATGGAAGACAGGCCTTATTTAAATACGCAAATTATGGGATCTACTAGTCTAAGCTTTCTCAGAAACCAAGCAATCTCAGATTTAAGCGGTGGAGCAAGAAGGAATGAATTTTCAACATGTTCGTGATTGCACCCTTACACAAATTCACCGTCGAAGTTCGGACAACGGTTCCTTCTTTATTCCTTAGTCCCTATCAATAAGAACATATATACTAAAAATAGGAAAATTGTCATTTTCCTCCCTCAAAGATGGGAAACTAAATAGGCTCCCCAATTGGGTAATTTGGGTCGGGTCCCGTGACTCGTGATGTCGTGTAAGCCTCTATAAACTGCAATGCATTAGCCCACATGAACTGTAAACCAGTGCTGTCAATTATGGGGTCTGAATCCGGGTCATGATAGAACCAGATTTAATCCTAAATAATACAAAATTAGAGCCGATAAAAATCAATAAATAATGAAAATAATTAGAAATGAAACCATAATAGCTATGAATAAGTAATAAAATAAAAGAAATTAGATTACCAGCAATATCACCCATATGATTTTTACTTTTAGAAAACCCGGCTCTTATCCGATCCGAGACTGTCGATCTATCGGATCAGCCGCTTAGCACCCGACAAATCCACAACTGACAACCCCGTTGTACACTTGTACTCACTAGTGCATTACATTTTTGTCCAACTAAACCTTTCTATTTACGTTTTTTTATCATGTCAATTGTCAACCGACGAGTAATGTTGTCCTGATCCGAATCCCGAATCCGATCCAGCTGGTGTCGCATTTGCAATTTCATGGATGGAAGCAATGTCTCTGTTTTTTTATGCTTAGGAACAAGAGACAACATATGGCAAAGCTAGGGGCGTCGTATTAAAGGAAAAGGAGATGCGGATAATGGGATCCGACAAGCATGTGGTTCACTGTGGGCTCGTTTAGCACAAGTGCATAACCAAACCACTCCTGTCAAATTCCCGCGGTTTTGAGACGAGGGTAGGCATCTCTCTTTTCTCTCTGTCTCTCACACACATATGTACAAAACTCTCTTTTATTTAGGTAAAATATAAAAACCTCCATTAAAGTTTTTGACAATCTATAAACTTCCCTTGAATTTTTAATAAGTTGACAAAAATCACCCTTCCGTCACTAATTCAGATAAAAAGCTATTAAACTTATGAAAGTATCCCTGATTAATCGTTAGGGCATCATTAAAATATTTCAAAATATTGATTTTTAATTTAGTTTTAAAGAAACTTATTCAGCAATTCGTTTTGTTCCGATAATCGAATACCAGTGGCTGAAACAGGTGGTAGGAGTCGTGACATTACAAAAACGATTTTTATCGGCAGTGCTGGCAGTTGTAGAAGCCATGAAAATGCTTTGTTAATTTTTAGCCAATGACTTGCAAAAGGGATGGGTGAAGAGAGGAAGAAGGTCGCTTATGAGATCCGGTTACTTGCAAAATCAAGCATATTCAACAGGTCTTGCTTGTCAGATGCAGCACAATCCCCAATTTATTAAAGCTTCTCTATCCATGACTGATCCATCAATACAAGAGAATGCCATGGCAGCCTTGTTCATCCTTTCAAAACATTTCAAGAGAAAAGTGTTAATTGTCAAGAACAATGGATTGGGATTGATTCTTGCATTCTAAGAGGAGGAATTACAAAAGATTCTAGCAGCTGCCACATTTTTTTTATTTTCTTCGGTTGAAGAGTACAGAAAACTAATTGGAGAGATGCCAAATGCAATCTCTTCCTTGGTAAAGATGATGAGGATTGGAACAACTCGTGGGAAGAAGAACGCTTGTGAGGAGAAAGTAGACCACCGCTACTGAGAGTTGCAGCGACGGTCAAAAGAAACAAAGGAAAAACAGAAAGAAGAAGAAGAAGAAACAGAAGATGGGGAAAAAGAGAAAGGGAGAGGAGAGAGCAAAAAACGAACAAAATAGGAGAGGGAAGAGAACAGCGGAGAGAAAGAGCTTTGAGGAAGTCGTCGTTGCTAGTTGTCAAAACTCTATTCGATTCCACTGTGAAGAAGATGAGCAATGCCTTTCGTTTGCTCCGGCTTGATGGAAGAGAGGGGGGACAGAGGAGAGAGATGGAGAAAGAATAAATCAAGGATAAAAACCAGTGAGGGGAGATTGGGGAAGGATTTCATGTCATTTCCTCGTTCTGCGTCAATAGGAAGGGGAAGCAAAGGCAATTCTGATATCTTGAAATATTTTAATGATGCCCTAACGACTAATCAGGGGTACTCTCATAATTTTAATGGTTTTCTGTCTAGATTAGCAACGAAAGGAAGGTTTTTGTTGAGTTCTTTAAAAGTTCAGGAAAGATTTTTATTAAAGTAAAACTATAACTTATAGGGGAGGTTTTTGTATTTTACCCTAAAAAAAATGTAACACAAGGATATCTATGTGAATAAACCAGAGTCAGGGCAGAGTTGGGATCTGATCTGCTAGGCATAAAACATTATTCATATTCTAGTCACAAAACATTACACACAAAAAGGTGTCAATTGGCTATGGCAAGACACAATAAGTTTTTACATTGTGATTTTGGCAACTCAAAAATAGTTTGATTGGAGGCACGTCTTTCTACATAAATATATGTATACTGATCGGTTTGGTTTAAGTTCAATATTAAAAAAAAAAATTGAAAATACGGTTCGATTTTAATTAATCAAAATAAAAAAAAAACTAGTGGTTAACCAAACCAATCGGTATACATATATTTATATATTATAAATTAATAAATATACATTATATATAAATGTATATTTATTTATTTATTTATAATATATTATTCATTATTTAAAATATAATATTATATATATTTCTAGTATTTTATTATATATTTATATATTTTTTTATAATAAATATTGTAAATAATAAAAAATCAACTAACCAAATCGACGATTAACCGAATCAATCAACCGGTTAATCGATCAACTTCGATTCACTTTCAAAAGTTAATTACCGAACCGTGAGCATCCCTACGGAAGATACTTTTCAAATTGTGCAATTGTAGCATCTTATGGGCAGGGTGAGGGACTGTGGATAGAATCTTGTGAGTAACAGATCCGAGTTCGTGTATGTAATACGAGTTTACATCTGCTGTAACCCCTCTCATGGACCCTCTAACCTCCCATCTGTCAAAACTTTTATGACCATAGACGGGGTTTTTTAGTAATTAGAACAAAGTTAAAAAAAAAAATAGATTGTTTGAAATGATTTAGAGTCTATTACAATTTCAATAGATTTTCTATTGAAAAATCTAAAATCATAAAATTAGTAATAATAAAATACAAACTTGTGAAATGAAAATCACTAATAACAAGTTGTCATTATGATTACGGCCTAAGAATTAAAACATATTCATATTAATTAATTGTATGTAATGAGACTATAATACATATGTAGAATAGCAATGGCAGAATTGGGTTTGATTTGGATTTAGTTGCGCAAGGGTCCGGTCAACCCCAACCCTACCGACCATTTGGGTTGGGTTAGGTTGTATTTGAGCTAACCCAACCCAAGTTGCAGTCCTATTTCCATCACTGACGAATGTGTGTCATTGAGGGATCGTAAGGACTCCATAAATGAGAAGCAGATCCAGTTCAAATTAATCCTATACCAATGTTTTCAATCAGACCCGACTGGAAGGTTGGACTGAAAAAAATGGAAGCTGGTCACTTGATCAGTTCCGGTTTTCCTCAAAACGGTTGATTTGGGTGGTTGAATCTTTGAATTATTCAACTCGAGAACGGTTTTTTGTCATTTTTTGTTTTTTTAAATGTTTAATTTTTTATTTTTTGTCAAAACGGATCATTCGTTCAGACCAGACGGTTGAACCATTTGGACTGGGAACCAAACCCTAGAATGGTACCCTGTCCGATCTGGTTTTAAAAACCCTATCCTATACCCATCCGTTGCAGCGTTTTTTTTTCTTTTCTTTTCTTTTATTTCAATTTAACACACCCAACGGAAAAGGTACCTGGGTTTCTGGACAAGGCAGGCTATGTCCTCCCTTATATTTTATATCTATTTTTCATAATAGTTTTCTATTAATAAAATTTTAAGGTGGTAGTCCTTCCACTTGGAATAAAGTTTGGGGTTTAAAAAAAAAAAGAGGATTTTAATGCTAAAATTTGCTTTATAAAAAAAAATATTAGGCTGAATTTGGAAGGAGTACAAATGCAAAATATGTAGAGTGCAAAACCTTATATTTTATATTTACGCTGTACATATTTGCATTTGTACTCTTTCCAAATTGAGCCTTAGTGACATGTACAGCTGCTTTGCCACACTAATCTACCATATGAAATTTCATTTGTTATCTAGACTTCTTTTGTGCAGGTCTATAAGCTGGAGAAAGCCACGGATTTGGATATCATTAAGGAGCTGTTTGGCAAGTTTTTTAGGTAGATCTTTCAACCGCCTAATAGATAATTAGAGCTTTTGGGGTCTTGTCTTTAAAGACCAAGACTGTTAGGTTTGAGCCATAGTCTACTGGGCTATTAAAAATAGTTGCAAAGGCTATTTTCAATGCAAAAAAATTTAAAATTCATTTGAAACTTTCCAGCAATCCTAGAACTCTTAAAACTTGGACATAATGAAATTGCACGTTAATTACATATAGGGATGGATTCAAGTCGAGCCAAGTCGGCTAGGCTCGAGCTTGACTCACCAAAGTACTACAAGGCTCGAGCTAGAACCTTGAGCTTGAGCTCGGCTCGAGTAAAAAATTTGTAAGCTCGAACTCAACTCGGCTCGAACCCGATTTGATAAAAAATGTTTTATAAAAATAAAAAATTATATATAAAAATATTTTTATTTGATATTTAAAAAATTATGAATTATAATATTTTTATTATATATATTATTTTCTATAACATATATATATATATATATATATATATATATTCGAGCTCGACACGTTTATTAATCGAGCCTATAAATTGGGCTTGAAGCTCGGTTGAAATCGAGTTGAGCTCGAACTTTTCATGAGTCGAGTTCGAGTAGCTCGTGAAGAGCTCGACTCGTGGCCACCCCTAATTACATATAGTTGAACCTAAACCAGTTTAAGCTTTTGAGTTTAAAAAAAAAAAAAGTCAACCAAAAAAAAACATTTCCAGCAGGATTTTTTGCTCTATGAACCCTTAAGAACCCACTCCAGGAACTTTTACCCAAGGTTTTTCAAATCGGATTGAACAGAGAACTGTTCTGAGGTCCGGTTCCTAGGTCGAATTGTCCAACTATCCAATCCGAATGGATGGCCCACTCTAACAAAAAATAAAAAATTAAAAAAAAAACCAAAAAACTGCTAAAAACCATTTCCTGATCGAATGATTTGACTGCCTGAATCAACGATTCACTGACCAAATCAATGATTTTTGGCCAAATAACAATTTTAGGATAAAATGGAACCGACCAAATCACTGATTCCTGGTTTTTTTTATCCAACCGTCTGGTCCGGTCCAATTTAGAAAACGTTGTCTTTACCTCAACGGCTCAACCCCATCAACTTCTAAATAAACTTGCCATGGGAGGTCTTCAAATGATTCCTCGCACGAAACATTATATTCATTAGATTGTCAGCCACCGAAGAAGAATCCTTCAATGGAGGTAGAATTGATCAATAGATGAAGCTAATGGCACAGATTGATTGTGTAAGCAGAAACCATCCCAATAGCCATCAACACAGCACTTGCAACATCTCTGTACATGTATGTTTTATTCATAGGAAGACATCCCCAAAGCACAGCTACAAAGAATTGTGACTACTGACTACGGTTATCTGAAGACGTAATCCAAAATTCAAACCAACTGCCAAAGTCCGGTTGGGATCTTTTCCTCACATAGCACTCCTAGTGTCGACTTCACAACCATATTCCATTGTCTATTAAAAAAATATTTCCCACAAATAGTAGCATATAATTACGGGAAATATTTCTGTTGTATGACTGGAACATGCTGTGAGATCAATGTAATGAGTGATCAGTGAGGAGCAGTCGAGTATATCTGAACTCACCAATGCCAGGCAGATTTGGACTCCCATTGTTCTCACATATATTCACAGAGCACCGCCACGGTATATTGGGCACATTTCTCCATAAATGACAAGGGAAATATTCTCAATACCCAATTATAATATTTTGTGGGCAGAAATGTGGGAACAGTTCGTGGGTAACAGATCCGAACCCAGCCCGGTGTGAATAATATTGTCTCCCACCAATCCGGGCTTGTTGGGACAGTGGACAATAGACCAGCCGGTTGAACTTTAAGCTATAAAAGAATACTGAACGACTGTTCCAATTTTTTTTTCATACTCCCATTTAGGCTGTGTTTGGTATGAAGGAAAAGATAGGAAAATTTATGAAAACCCATACAAGGTCCGTATAGGTTTTCTAAACTTTCCTTTCCTGTCCCTACCTTTTTTTTTTCAAACCAAACACAGTTTTAGTGAAAACTTGTTTTTTTTTTTTTTTTTGCCATTTTCATCAAAACAAGAACAAGATAGAAAATGAAAAATAGCAAAAATAATAATTAAAATATTTTCAAATTTCAATGTGGAAAATTTTCAAGTCCATTTTAATAAATAAAAATATTTCCTAATCGGCTCAAGTATTGATCGTTCGCCACATTGGAAATTCTTTAGAATGGCCTTGTATGAAATTCAAGATTATTTTGGGGGTAATTAAATCCAAATTCAGCGTTTAATTGCTAAATAAATCGTTCATGACAGGGTTATTTCCGTAATTCAATCAGAGCGAAGATCAGTAAATAAGCATAACGGTTAGCTTTCGAATCAATCATCACATCCCCCTCTATAAACTCAAATCCGACGGCTCACGAAGAACCAAAAAATTTAAAAAACCCGACAAATAAGCCCACAAGAAACTAGCCGTTACGAGAGCGTGCAGAGCGCAACGTTCATTTTCTTCCCTTTCATTGCGCCCTTTCTTCATTCACTTCTTCAAGGCAATAGAATCAACTCCCATCACCACCTTTCACGCCGTCGAATCTTCCCCTCACCATTAAAGAAACCATTTCAGGCAACACCGATTCGATCTCCGGTGATCTTTGATCGATTTCCGGCGATATTTCGATGGATTTAGGCGGAAAGAACTGTGGGACAATGACGCCCACCAAAGACCCAAAAGCGTCCCGATCGAAGGTCGCAGAAGTCTCAAAATTTTCGGAGAATTTCGATCCCAATAGATCTACGGTAAGTCCTCTGAAACCAGGGAACACTCCACTAACCAAGTCGGCCAAATCGAAGAAATCGGCTCCAAAAACCCCGAATCAGATTATTTCTCCCCGTGCCAAGATTCGTGAAAGAAAGTTTGTGGTGGCCAAGAAGAAGTCGAAGACAGCACTTTCCACTGCTACCTGCAAATGCAAGGAGAAGATGGGAGGTAATCTAAAGAAGTGCCCCTGCATTGCTTACGAAAGTCTCCGGGCGTCTCAAGAAGAGTTCTTCAGGAACCGGAGTAGCATCGAGCATGAATTCGATTTTGACGAATCAACAATGAACTTCGAAAGACCTGAAGGTGAAGAGGATCAGAGAATCCCCATTATGGAGAACTTAGAAACTGCAGTTGCATCAGAAGACAAAGCCGTGGAAGGTAGCGGTCATTCGATGAACGATTCAGGTAACCAAGTTATGGAGGAGCACGAATTATCAAGTGAAATGGGTAGTTCGAAGATCAAGAGGAGAAGGGACAAGTTGATGGAAGAAGCCAGGAATAGTATTCCTGAACCAGGTTCGGGAAGAGTGATGCATTTGGTTAAGGCCTTTGAAAGGCTTCTTTCAATTCCGAGTTCCAAGGAGTCGAAACGGAGCGAAGAGGGGGACGATAATAGTAAGAAGGGAATGAAGTGGGCATTACCGGGATTGCAACCTAAGGCCCAAGAAACAGAGGTTTCTTCATCTTCTTTCTGTCCGTCAGAATTGTTCTTCACATCGGAGAATTTTGGCACGGATTCAAGAATTTCCTCTTCAGTAGACAGCAGCCAAGGAAGGTAAGCTACAACTGATTTCAAGACAGCACATCGATCTTATTCAAAGTTCATATTGCCTGATTGGTTTCTGTTCCTTTCTCTTTCAGCTTTACTTTTACTAGCAGCAGAGGTTCTGGTGGGACCAGAAGGACACGCCGAAAAGTAAGAATTCTATCCTTCTCTTTTCTTTTCTGTTTTTTCATGCTTATGAATAATGGAGATTGGCCATGTGTTCTGCAACTTATGAATGTTTTTCCATTACAGAGTGCTGAATCCATAGGGTCATTTGGAGGAAGTAAATGGAAGAAGAAGCAGCAGCTCAGAGTCACCAGACAACAACCATTCAAATTAAGAACAGAGGTATTCTTACGTAAAAACCACCGTAGAGTATGAAGAATCTCTTGAATGACTTTGTTGGATATCACACATTAATTTCTTTCTTGCTTGCTTTCTTTCCTTCTTCTTTTCTGTTAATTCTATGGGGGTGTGGGAGGCTATAGAAACGTTTACAGAAGAACTGGATCAAATTGTGTTGAAATTGTTGAGTATAGCTGTAGAGGTGCACAAACTGACCTATTATACTAAATTCTTCAATACATCAACTTTATAAACAGGAAGTGAAATTTTCTTCATGATAATAGCTTCCCAGATGGGAGATGCATATTGGAAACCTCTTTATCTAAGTACTTTGACCAGTACCAGTGGGGAGTAATAATAGTAGATATATGTAAACCATATTCACGAGGGATTTACTTGCTCTTCCTACTGTGAAATGTAACATTTAAAGAAACCTGCGTAAAATTAGTGCATATCCGTTCTACTTGAAACTCCTTTGTCTTCATCTGACTTGAAGTTGAACAAAACTGAGGTATTTTTTTGCCTCTCGTTTCTTTTTCAGCAAAGAGGAAGATCTAAGGAGGAAGAATTTCTCAAGAAAGTACAGGAAATGATGATGGAAGAGGAGAGACTTAGAATACCGGTAGCACAAGGCCTGCCATGGACAACAGATGAGCCAGAGGTGAGCTCTCACCGGACAGAAGAAAATAAATAAAAGGGAATCTTAAGTAATTTTTTATCATTGTAATCAATTCCTTCATGTTGTTCTATTTCAATATGTTGAGGGTGTAAAGGACTAGTTATAGTTACTTAGATTCTTTACCCACTTTATTTATCAAAGGAAAATCGTTTTTGGTAAGATGCAAAACATATTAATTTTCATTAAAATCATACTCCATCTTATTTTGAGCTCTTTGGTTTCTTCATGCATTTTGATATTTACCATGTTAAGATACCTAACAATGATTCAGAAATCTTTGTTCAGCATAGTTGCAAATATCTTATATATTTGGTGGGACTTTTCATTTTCATGAGGTGAGGGAGACTAGAGTAAAAGGGTATCCCTGAATTCTGCTGCTTATTTTCTGCATAATAACACGTGTTACCCTTTCTCACCATATTGATAACTTTAGAGTTCACTACAGTTCATTAGTTTTTCAAAGAATATGCACTTTCTAGCTTTTTCTTCAACAGTTTTGATGTTCATTTACTAGCTTTAATTTGAATTTAGGGGTTTTGAAAATGATTGTATAAATTTGCTCAGCACAATGTAATGACAGGATTTTGGAGCAAACTAAAATCCTATCATTGACAATAGTTATGGTATTGTCTTTGTCCTTTTATGTGTTTATTGACAATATTTTGATTTTGCCATTTTAGTGCTTAGTGAAGCCTCCAGTGAAAGAAAATACAAAACCTATTGACCTCAAACTTCACAGCGATGTTAGGGCAATTGAGCGTGCTGAATTTGATCATCATGTAAGTTTATAATAGATTGTACACAAAACCCGCTATTACAGGCAAATGCAGTATATTTGTTATTTTATTTGTTTTACAGTTCTCAATTCATTCATTTTCAGGTTGCTGAGAAGTTAAACTTAATTGAGCAGTATAGAATGGAAAGAGAAAGGCAGCAAAAGGTATGTTGTGATAGTAGAGAATACAATCCAAACTGTGCTGTGCTATGTATAATATACATTTTTCTTGAGCTTTCTTCTTTGTCCCGGTGAATTGCAGTTAGCAGAAGAGGAAGAAATAAAGCAGATGAGAAGAGAGCTCGTTCCAAAAGCTCAGCCCATGCCATACTTTGACAGGCCTTTCATTCCAAAAAGGTATAGTTGTTCCTTTTTTATATCATCTTCAGGCTTGACTCGAATGAAAGAATTTAACTTTTTTAGTTTTTTTTTTTTTTTTGTTGGTGGTGTTTTGTTCAGGTCAACGAAGCACCCAACCATTCCAAGAGAACCGAAGTTCCATATTCCTCAGCACAAGAAGATCAAGTGCATGTCATGGACTGACATGAGCATCTATACTCATCAGCACTGATAAAGAATGGGAGAGAAGAAAATGGATGAAAGAAGAATAATAGAATTTGATCATTTAATTCATTTTTTTTTCTTTTCTTTTTCTCTTTTTCATTGTGTAAGCAATCAATTTAATTGCATTTTGATGAACAAATTCACCCTGCAATTGGTTGTGACAAGCGCTAGTGTTGCTTACACTTAGTGCTATTATAGTTCAATTGAATATTTTTTAAAGTTCATCTCTCTCTCTCTCTCGACTACATTTGGGCATCTTTTATCCTACCCCAGTAGAAGAACTAAACACCTTACTCAAAAGCCGGTTGATCATCAACTTCTAAATTGTAAATATCTGCTTCAGTTTCCCTGCATCCAATAAGTATAGGGCCCCTATTATATCATCCCCTCCTTTATAGGAAATCCAAATACCAGATTTACTTTTTTTATCAGCTAAACTCAAACTTTAGAAAAGGGGAAGATGCAGAAAACAGAGCCATGGGAATTGGGAATTGCTCCTCACATGGACCTCCCAGCCACATTCCACAGTGTATCGGCAACATAGATGTTCAAGTGTATTGGAAACATCTCCCATTAATGATAAACATACAAGAGTAAATTAAATGTTCCCGATGTGATGTGTGACTAGAACATGATGTGAGGTCGGTGTGAGAAGCAAAGGCAACACATGGTTTATGGCATTCATGCATCCCTAGCTTCGTAATAACACCTTATTTATACTGAACCACTGAATGAAATAACTATTTCATTACCGATTACTCTGGAATTTGGATTCAGTTAATAACACCTTATTTATACTGAACCACTGAATGAAATAGTAATTTCATTACTGATTACTCTGGAATTTGGATTCAGTCGTCACAGTTCCTTGCAGCTGTGCATTGGGAATATCTCCTGATAAATAAAAAGCAAACAAGTACTAAGATATTCTCAATGCACGCACGACTGCAAAAGGCTATGAGGACTGTTTTGTGAGGACTGAATCCAAATTGGTTTACTCTGAATGATTTTTGGCAGATAAACTGGCCACATTGCATTTTCCTAATTGCCTATTGTCAAAAAAATGGGATGTTCTCACATCACCACATTCGAAATTTGTTTTGCCGGGTAAATAAAAACAACACTTGAAGAAATTATGATTTTGTAAAACAAATTGACTACATACACTAAGCTCACAAAGTGTCTGGTTCTAGCGAAGAATTGGTAAGGGACCAACTTTTTTTTCTCTCTTACCATTTGAAATGTTTAGTTGATCACAAAGAGGTTCTCGACCAACACATCTAATTGCTTTGTAAATGGAACAATCGAAAGCTGATAAAAAAGTAAACAATACCCATGGGCGTTCAAATTGCAACCAAATTGATTCTCAAATGTCAAATCTGTCTTCAAACACTTGTGTGTTACAGAATATGGCAGCGCGTGATCCCAATCATTTGGGACTGGTCCCTAGCATCTAAACCACCCAGAACTTGCCTCTGGACTGAAAAATCTTGATTCTTGTACACTACTGACTAATCTCTGGCAGTTTCCATTCAGCAATGATGAATAGGAACCGAACCAATTGGCTTAGCATTCACACAAGAATGCCCAAGCCTGAAACCTATTCCTTAGCTAATTTCGCCATCCATCCCTTAACAATTTACAACTGGTTACAAAATGCTTTACGGAAGAAGCTAGATTACGAATTTACGAGCCATATGATTAATATCCCTGACGCAGACAACAGAATTGAAGCAAGAGGTCCTCTACAAACTCGCATCAAATTCCTAGATATGCCAGCCACCCAAGGTTCAAAGTATCAACATGTATCGACCCGTATTGACTGATATGTATCGTTCCAGGACCCCACCGATACTCCCTTATAGAGAGTGTATCGGAGGTCTGACCGATTCAGGTGATGGAGGAGACCTAAACCAGCCCCCCTGAATTGGTTTCAGAAAAAAATAAATAAAAAAAAAAAAACTAAAAAAATAATATCAATAAACCCCATACGCCCATACCGGCACCAGCGTATTGATACTTTGAACTTTGCAGCCACCACTCGGATTTAAACACCTAAACATAATAAAACAAAGGGTACAACAAAATTGAACCACTAGGATCATAGGAAAACACCTCTTCACAGTAGCAAGGGTTTCAGTAGTTTTTACTTTACACTGCATTTGGTTTCTGTTTTACCTACGAAACAAGGTGAATTAACTTATGACTCATTTGATGCATCATTCTGCACGGTCTTTCATCTCTTTATAAGCTGAAAAGACCGATTTTTTATCTATTCCCATTTAGCTCACGGAAGACCTAACAGCCAAAAAAATACAACACCAAAAAGTCGCAAAAATCCCATTTCAAACTTATTTCAGGAAGCTTCATTTGAAGCTTTACGTATCTTTCATGTTTTATTCTCACACGAAAAGATATGGAAAGACATCACACGAAAAGATATGGAAAGACATGAAAAGACATACATCTGCCAAACATGCTTTAGGCTGCTCAGACTTTCATGCAGAAAATCAATGCGTCTTTTACATGTCAGCACTACCAAGAAAATCTTTCCAAAAAGACAAACCAAACAAACCCTTAATTGTTAGTGAAGTATCAAGATATGATTTTGCTTTTGCTGCAAACAAGTTATGCATGGCAATTTTTCTAACACATTTTCCACGATATTAAACTGGGAACAGGAAAGAAAGGAGAATATAATTTTACGTATTGCCACACGGGGGGCAGAGATGCAATTTGAATAAAATTTCCCAAACCAGTGATAAATTACTAAAATTCCGCATTGGGGCGAGTAGGGGCTTCTGGCTACAAGGCAGGGTGCCCAAAGCCCAAGTCTCAGGCTCTCACCGAGTGACGTAAAAGCATCGACGACACATGTAATCTAAAAATATTCAATATATAATGAATCCAAATTCCAGCTAAATATGATACTTGATCCCTTTTGAAACTCATTGTCCAGATGTCAATAACTAAATAACAAAATAAAACCAAATTGCATCTTCCAAGTTTCAACTTTCAACCACTCGGCATCTGAACCAAAACAAAGTGTCTTAACAAATAGTTGCAGCTACATCCGTTTGCCAAACAAAAACAAAGCCCTACAAAATCTCAAAAGCAAAATACCATATGTGCAGTTCAATAGTGACTCAGTGAGCAACAACTATTCTTCCCGCAACTTGGTCCAGGTCTCTCTGCCCGCTCGAGGTGATTCGCCTTCCACTGTTGCAGAAATTAACATGTCCATTGATTTATACCAAGATTCTAAAAGGTGGAATCATATTTTATCAGCAATTCAAAGTAATATGCACAATTACATTTTCTTATTGCATTTTTCTAGTTTATCCAAACAACCAACAGCTCCCCAAGCCCCAACTAAGGGCCAGATCAAAAAAATCTACATGTCTGAACAATCACCAAGATACACAAATTCCTTGAGTAAATAATATTCAGCATCTTCAAAATCTATCTCAGATGTAAAAGACTGCAATATGCAATTAAGACGAAGAAACTCGGTAATAATAGTATATAAGAAGAGTAAATAGACCATGTAACTTTGTAAGTTGTAACAACTTGATTTACTACATTTCAACGAGGATACGGATACTTTGCTAACATTCAATTTCAAGATACCAGTTACAAAGTTACAGCTGGTCCCATTTCCTGTTTATGTATGCAGTGAAAGAGTGTGCCAGACAGTTACCACCAAGACATTTAGGCTGTGTTTGGTTTGAAGGAAAAAGTAGGGAAGGAAAGGAAAGGTAGGAAAACCCATACAAGGTTTGTAAGGGTTTTCCTACATTTCCCTTCCTTTCCCTACTTTTTCTTTTAAACCAAACATAGCCTTGTTATCCCTCGGGGAAAAAGCCTCATACAAGTGCAACGCAAAATGAAATTATCAAGTTTGGTGATAACTCCTCCAAGACGGTTGGGAAGAATAAAATTATTTTGCCTTAATAAGTTTATTTCAGAGCCTCGAGGGAAGAAAGAAGGGTTAAAACACTGAATGCTGAATAAAAATGCAAACCTGCTGGGAAATTATAAAAAACTAAATAGCAAGGCTATCAGAAAGGCCATACATACACATTATAGGAACTAGAAAATGCAAGTCCAGAAACCAAAGGTCAAATATTGTGTGGTCAGTGTCAATATAAGCTAGGAAAATAATGTATATCAGCAATAAATTTCCATCCCTTCCCTTGTGCAAAGGGGAGCATTATTAAATTGACTAGATTCTATGATTCCCAAGTGGTGTACTACAAACATATACTATTTAATACTTGTACGTAGAAACGAACAGTCAGTTTGACATCATGTCTAATATGTTATTATGGATTCATATAATATACTAATTAAAGTTAATGCACAATTGAGTCTTTATCAAACATCATACACATACATTACAAAGCTTCTGCTTTGAATTTAATTAATACATAATACAATAAATATATCTAATTTGGCAAAATGTGAAGATCTATCTTCCATTAGTTGCTATATATAAATTTGTAATTGTATAACCTATTTAAAGATGATATATCATGTTTTTTACCTTATCAATATCCATTATCATTAAGATTATGAGAGTTTCCCTAGCATACCCATGCATTTCTTAACTCAAATGTATCCATGAGCTTCAGGTGTATCCCACATGTTTTTTATAATTAAATTGCATTCCAGACATTCTTTTCATTACCATTCTGTGACCCCGTATTTTTAAGTATGAGGTTTGACTCCATCTATTTATTTATCTATAACAATGAAAAGGGACGTTTAAACCAGTCAACAATCCAAGTTAGGATGACATATTTACCCCTTTGGATCAATGTCAACTATATTCATCTTCTGCAACTGTTGAAGAACATGACGTGCAATAGAACCACTGCTCTTGCAAAAGTGGGGAGGGCGACTGCCATTCCTCTTACTGCCACCATAAATCTTTCTAAAGCCACCAACACCAATACCCTGCCTCAAGTAGATTTTTCTTGCCATGGAAGCTGCACAACCGAATAAGAAATACAATGACCATTGGAGAAAGTAGATTAGAATCTTTCTATGATTCTCACATATGCAGGAACAAACACTGAGGCCTGAGCCACATACCAGCTCTAATATAGTACCAATCTGGGTCATATGGTGCAAGCTCCTTGAAGGTAGCAGTCTTCACAATATCAGTCCAGTGAGGAAGCTCCATCTAATCCAAAATCATGTGGATGCAAACAAAATTAGAATAGAACAATGATGGTAAACATAATTCAAAAAATAACCAGCATGTGGGCAAAAGCCATTATTGATTAAATAATTTGACCAGCAAACATCTTACAAGTAACAAATGATACTGTATAATTCAGATAGGCAGCCCGAGTCAACCTACCAAAGGCTCTTTTGCATTATGAAATTTCCATTTGGATGTTATCATGTTATTACCTAAATCAAGGCTATTTCGGAACACTACTTTCAAGTCAAGTCCTAAAGTGTGAACAAAAGATAGAGGACCAATCCCTCTCAGAAAAGCAAATGCACCAACACCTTCAAACCTAACTCTCATAATCATTAGATGAGACAGCTAATTCTGGTACATTTAACTACTGGAGTTCCACCCTATGGATTCTATCACAACATAAAGAAACGGAAGTTTGCTTATTCTCCGTTTATTACTCTCAAACCTAGTTACATGGTCCTCAGTCTTCTAAGTCTAAGGTCGTACGGTATATAAAATGGATAACTTCAGTCGAACACATCTACAAATCCCTCAATCCAAGTAAGTGCGTTGATTTTACACCTGTACATAGAAAAACTAGTAGCAAAATGGAAGCAAGGAACTTCACTAAAGGCATATGGCGACTGGGATTAATAATTATAATTTTTTTCATAATACCACCAACTAAAATGCCGAGATTCTGAAGATTTATCTAAAACAAATACCAATTTCGATGAATGAAAAAAAGCATATTGCACATAACAGACCAGCCCGTAAGACACTGATCTAATGCTCTAATGACAAGCTCTGTCGCCCAAAAAAATTCAAAAATACAACATATATAAAAAAAAGGTTAAATAACATAGAAAATCAGACTTAAGCAGAAATTGCTTCTAACCAATAAGATTTCAATAACAATCTCCGCGAGGAAAACGAGCATGTGATAGTAATAACTTATCCTAAGTCCCATGTTATCTCAAAAAACCTTTGAGAATCCATTAAAGTAGAATGAGGCAAGAACAAATGGCCCATGAACGAAAAAATTGCAGAGATGGAGTGAAGATGACGATACCTTCCCCGATCGTTTGAGATGAGCGGCGTATGCCTTCACGAACTCGTGAGGCGAAACATCCTTCACCGTTCTAGCAGTCTCCATCGCTACAGAAACACGCAGAGATGTGAGAAAACGATGAAAATAGGGTTTTCACTCTTTAGGGTTTGTTACTAAGATGCGAAGCAGCCTTATATATCAAACTATTTTTTGAAAATACAAAAGTACCCTTGAACCCAACGCATATAACAGGGATGACAATTTTCTTCATTCCGACGGGATCCGACTTCCGGATTATTTTGTTATGGCGGGGATGGGGATGAGATCATGGTTTTTAAAAACGAACCGGTCAGGGTTCCGGTTATTGGTTCGAATGGTCTGAGTGTTAGTCCTGAATGGCCAGCCCATTCTGATAAAAATAAATAAATAATTGGAAAATGGTCAAAACGGTTCGAATGATTTTGAGGGAAAAAGTAATTTTGGAGGAAAACGAAACCAGTCAGGTGACCGGTTCTCGGTTTTTTCCGGTTCGACCGTCTAGTCCGGTCCGATTTTGAAAATAGTGATAGGAACCCCAATTGGGATGAGGGTCTCAATTATGTAAATATACTTTATATTAAATATATATATATATTATTTATATTATATATATTAAAACATTATTTATAATTTAAATTTTTTATTTATTTTAAATATATTTATTATTTGAAAAAATACTATTATCTAAAAAAATTATGGGGATTTGGGTCCCATAAGAAATCAGAGATAGAGGACAAATTTTATCCCCAACAAGGATTAGGGACAGGAATGGGGATTAATTTCAAAATTGATGTCGAAAACGGGGAATATGATCCCTGCCCCGTTGCCATTCCTAGATGATCATGGAGTATGTCAAGCCTAACTACTTAGTATAAAACTTCATGGATTCAGGCCCAGGCCCATTAAAGTAATGAATCATACACACTGGTTTGGTGACAAGTAAAATGTTTCAACACCCTACCAACATGATCTGCATCTATAAGATTAGGGCCATCACAAAATTGAGACCTATCATATATGAGATTTGCATTGTGTGCCAAATGATGTTAATATGGTGTTATAAAATATTTTGTTGGTAGTAAGGTGTTATAACCTATGGGATTCATAGGGTGTCAATAGTATTTGAAATTTTGATTTTGAATTCAAGATTGGGTGGTGTGTATGGTGTGGTGCGGATGAAAGCACACTACACCCCAACAGGATAGTTATTCTACACTATGGATAATAATGCATGGATTGATCCACACCACACCTCAACGGGCGTTTTGCAAGGTGTGGCACACTTCTGTCCACACCTTATGTTTGATTCCATGCATCTCAACTATAACATGTGAGATTATCTATGTCGTTAATCATTAAAAAACAATATTTTATTTTTTAGTAATATATATAATAGAAAAACATTAATAAAATACAAAAAAAATATTAATAATAATTAACAATACTAACTGATGTAACCGTTTTTGGTTACGTACCATTTTTTGTGATGTATAAATTTTTTGGCTAAGTACCTCGTTGTTTGACCCGGTGGTGACGTGCCTTGGTGATGAGCTACTTGGTGGCAAACTCCCTGGGGGAGAACTACCTGGTGACGAACTGCTTGGTGGCGAACTACCCAGTGGCAAGCTCCCTGGTGGAGAGCTACTTGGTGACGAATTGCCGGGTGGCGAACTGCCTGGTGGTGCTCCCTGGTGGCGAACTGCCGGGGGGTGAACTGCCTGGTTGTCACGGGGGTAGTTCTACAGCGGAAGAACCCCGTGCGGCATCCTGGCCAAGGCAGGCCAGGACAAGCCTTTATGCGCTTAGAGGCTAGGAGTTGCCCGATGGGATGGCTCCACCAAMGYYAGTAGCACTGGATCATGACCTCAAGTCCAATGGCCGGGGCACTCTCTTGGCTCAGACCGGTCCATGGGAGGCGCCGCTTACGTGCTAAAGGGGGACAACCATMATGGAAGGCGACCATGCGCCGATGAGGTGACTTGGCACCGATGTGAAGGGTCTCCTGTATGTCGATGATGACAGGCACCTGTGTGCCATGATGATAGGCAACCGCTTGGGCCGGAACACACCC